CGGGCGTCGTCTACCGCTGTTGGTTTGCCAAAGCGAGTATTTGGCAAATTTGAACCTACGCTGTTCCTACGATTGTTATCAGCTTACATTCGACTCCAAATAAAGTACACCATTCAAGCGTGGAATCTATGGCTGCAACGCGATGAGAAGATTCTGGAAAGTCCACAAAGACTGGTCACCAAAATGGCCAAAGGATTGCATTCTAAGAGTTATGCGGAAAGACTGGAATCACTTCAAATGTACTCCATACAGTATCGCCGCATTTGAGGGGACTTCCTCTTGGTGTATCAGATAATGCAGGACTCAGAACACCCATGTCGTTCATTATTTGCCGTGTCGCCCACCACTCACCTCAGGGGGCACTCATTCAAATTAGTGCTCCAAAAGTGTCGACTAGAATGCCGGCGTCATTCATTCGCTCTTAGAGTGTGCATTACGTGGAATTCTCTACCAACACACGTTGTTTCTGCGCCTACAATTGATTCATTCGAGCACAAACTGGATGAACCTCTGAAAAGTCTTAAATTTCAACATCCGTAGAAGCGCACGAAAAAAAGGACAAATTGTGACATTCATCTACTTTGTATGAACTGTGAACCGATTCATCTGTGCCAAATCCTATGGGACTAGACTGACCACTTCATAGTCGCTTGATTGCCCATTGATTGTATTCAGATATTCCATCTTTTTTGGTGTCCAAACAGTATCTTAAAGCTCACAATACAAGCGTCAGGTTTATTCCATTAGGTCCCAATGTGTTACACCGTTCTAACTCTCAGAGTTTCCGTTACTAGGTCCTATGGGTGAGTTTTATGTGATCGTTTTACTCAGATCTATTCCTTTCTACTGTTCATCGCTAAGGTGTGTAAGAACCATTACACCGCAAACCAGACCTTGTTTCATTTCACTAAGATGAACTTATAGATCAATCCTATGTGGCATTTTTCATCTCATAGGGGTGATTTAATTTTTCGTGGGTGAAAAACGCTACAAAATGCCCATGTGAAATAACTTTCTTCGGCGCATTTTGTTTCTTAGATTCCCGATTACTCTCCCTAGGATCACCTGAGTCGAAGTAGTAACCAAATTAGTTTCTGACACATCGCTGACAGTTTGTCGTTCAGTTCCATGCTCAATAGCCTAACATTATCCCTGCTGCTGCTGCTCCCGTTCCTCATCTGCCCCCCTCCCCTGCCCACCGTCCCCAACCACCCGTGATACAATCGCATTATGCGGTCCGTGTCTTCCTTGACTGACCCCACCCATCTTTGTGGATATGGCTTATTATGCACGTCCTCTGCTAGTCGTTTCAACATTCCTTCGCACAGGTTGTCACTTCTATTGTGGTTGATTGCTCTCAAAGGTACACACACACACTGATGACATTTTGGTGGAGGTGTGAACAGTCCCAGTTGTTGAATGAACCTCTCTTACCGCTCACCTTGGTTTGCATCTCGCTCTGAGCGTAATTACGACTTGTGGTTTATTCAAAGGTGCCCCTTTTTCGCATGAACATTTTCCACCATCTATTATAAAGGGAGTTACCGAAGAAATTCCTCAACTGCTCAAAGAAGCTATTGATTAATTGTGATACCAGGTTGACTTATTGGTGACTCATTAAGTGGGATTTCAGGTAGTGCCAATTTCCATCGGAATAATTTTAACTGCTTCTCGGTCTCCTACTCTGTTTCTCCATTGTTTCCCATGTATCATTCATTTCCCATGGACCATCATTCACAGGATAATACAACCGAAGCAGGTTTCCTAATGTTTGTCGTGAAATATATCAAAATATTACTTACTTCCAGAACAGCATCAATTGAGGCCCTTTTTTGTTTGTCAAATTATTACACATAATGCAGTGATAAATTCTTATCACTTGTGATTGAAGTGCTGTCAAACCACAGCTCTAAATTTGGAAACCGTATGAATAACATTCAGTTAAACGTTCACATGCGAGCGTATTCGGTAACAGACCTCTATTCGGTTGAGTCCCTGTGTGATGCAATTTTAATGAGCCACTTCATTGCATTGGTTAGCTTGTAGCTAATTCTTCTCTCCGGACCTGGCTTTGATGATGATGTTTGTGCATCAATAGTTGACCATGGCACCCACACGTGCGTTCAGTTATGTCGCCAACAGATGCCAGTTGCATTTGGGATCCGAAAGACCTGGCATGTATAGAAACTTGAAAGGAATGGGTATTTTAGTGCACTTTGCACTCGAGAACAGAATCATCAGCGTCTGCGGACGAGCACATGGTTCTGCAGACGTATTGCACCTCCTCCCCTTTATTGTCGTGTGTATGTTTCCTGGGCTCTTAGGTCATCATTATCGTTCTCAGCGAAACCGGAATTAAATTATCTAGTCGGCAGTAAATCTTTACCTGCACTTGGAGAATTTCTGATTTTCCTCCACTACACTCTTGGGACTGGAAACTTTTACACCTTATCGGTTTTGTTATCCTGCGCTTGGTGTGCGCAATGATTTGCGTTCTCACGCTCCTAGTCTCCCATGTCCGTGAAGACAAATCGATTGCATGAATAAAATTTCGTGTGTGCTGGCCAAATTTTTCTTGATCATGCCGCACAATTAGTCTGTTTGAGGTGAGAAGTGCCAAAAACTTATCTCGACTAATGTAGTTGCATTAAAATTCATCACACGATTGCAAGTTTTTTTATCATTTCGCTGTAATAGTGAAAAGAAATAAGAACCAGCTGCAAATGCCTGTTGCGTTAATTATGAATCATCACTGGAATGCGATAATAATGACCATGTTTCCCTCTATTTTATATCTGTGGCGCGTTACCGGACATTTTGCCTTCGCCATATCAGATCAAATACTCCACATGAACCACACTTGTGAATTTTTGAATAATTTAATTTTCAAATTACTTGCCGTTTGAATTTGCGATTCCATAAGGTGACCTTTTCGAGTTTGGACACTGTACATATTGCTAAATGTTAGTGTTTTCCAGAATATTCACATGTAATGCTCGTGTGTCACCGTCCCTTTCAAACCACATTCCAAGGTTTCAAGCAAATGTCCCCATCGGCTGTAAACCTTGGATTGCGTCCGTTCATAAATCTTTTTTTCACATCGTTTTTAAGCCACCTTAATTGCACTGGTGTGAACGTCATTCGACTGTTCTCTATCCATCTTTCGCTGACCACAGTCGCTCACAAATTCAGTAACCACTGCTTTTTTTCCTTTTTTGTTCATCTGGCCTACTGAGCAAACTGTTTGTCAATTGGTTGAACACGTTCCAGACTAGTCCGTCCAAGGACAATACTATTTTGTGCGCAAATGCAAATGCTACATTTCGAATAGTTGGGAATTCGCTTTTTCCTATCCTTTTTGTTGACTAAAACACCTGAACACTTCATGTTTCTGTAAATAGAATTGTGCCAGATCAAACTATTTTATTTACAATTGTCTCTTGCATTATTCCATTCCACTTTTCTCGTGATGATTAAGAACTACCAAATAACAGTTCGCATGATTGAGTCTCGCACGCGTTTGCTATTCAATCATGAATGTGTACGCTGGTCTTCGGCTACCGGTGCACAATCTGTGCTGCACTGTCCCCGTCGCCGGAAAATCTCCGGTGTGGGAACATCTTGATTTTCTCTGTCTCTCATCCCGAATATGGTATGTACATGAAATGCCCGCAGCAAAACAGTTGTGCCTGACCTGTTTGGTTTTGCACATGCGCGTATTTTACCGGTTCACTTTATTCACCCCTTCCCCAAATAAGAAACTTTCACACACACACACACGCTCATCCCCACCAGTTCTCCCTGAGTGTTGTCTACCACAGTAGTTTGTCTCCTTTGATAATCAATCCTGAGCGTTTCATTTTGTTTACAAATTCGTATTTAGTGATTGAATCATCTAATTTTTCACATTCGACCGGACTGGTTGAAAATTGTGTCACTGCATTGTTTCCACACACTGGCTGTCACTATTCTGTCCTTATTGGGACTTAAAACTTTTTGCTTTCCTGTTCCTTCTTAAATCATGCACTGCACAGCTGAAATTGTTCCTGTATCCAGTATATGGATGGTGAGACTGGTGTTCAGATTTTCTTTTTTTATAGATTGAGCATACAAATATACAGAGAGAGAGAGAGAAATGTGGAACACAGGCAGCAGGATTCGGACTCAGGATATCCAGGTCACCCTATTCTGATTGCTTTACGTCTTGGCCCACAGCAAGTATAAGATAATTATTTTCCGAAGTATTGAAGCCTCCGGATACGTCTACCGTGCACACCGGGTTTTCTTGTGCTAATCATGACACCATTCTGGCCGTCAAATGGAAAGCATATGGTACCGGCATTCAAGTTTCCCACATCGTCTCGTGGGCACACTGAACAATCACTAAATTTGTTTTCGATCCTCAGTTCAGTAGATAATCAACAGCTGTCTTGAGGAGTCTGATTTCCGCCACTGTTTTCAATGTAACCTTGTTTCTTCCCGTTATGATAGTGACAGATTTTGAACTCTTATCTTTCACATACGACGTAGGCAATAATTGCACCGTCCGAACATGATGTGTACAGCAACAATAAAATATGATTGAAACCGACCGAACTAATAATGGTGTCCTATGAAGAGTGCAGGATGAAATGATATCGGTACTAGTATCTGGATGGTAACTGATTTAGCCATTTGACCAACACATCACTTTAAATAAAGTTTTCTGGTGTCCACGGTCACATGTATGCAAATGAGAAATGGTATTGTGGGGTCGGAAGATTCTCGATTGGGTGAACTTGTTTGGTTGTAATTTTGAGGCTGTTGCTACGAGATTCCGGAAGTGATAGAAATTACACATTGTTTTTCCTCCATTATTGCCCTATTTTCATTGTTATCTTCAGTCTTACTTCACAATTATATTCGACTAATAGGCAACTACTCGTTTATTCGGGGCTGTTCAACCAACTGCACATCTACACATCTACATTGATTGTGTGCATCTCAAATTTCTTCTTCAGTCGTGGTGACCGCAATCACAATTCCACATGTTTTAAGTGTCTCACTGTGTCCAGAATTGCGGATCTGAGCAGTAAGTCAGGTAGGTGACGTGGATGAACGAGAAAGAGCGCCAACCATGTGTGCGAGTGAGTCATTTGGCACACTGGACCCACTCATGTGCTATCCAGTCCACGAAAGTCCTCTTACCGGTCTAATTCACTTATTTTTCCAGATCCTGGAGACTTTATGTTTATGTTTATTTTGGAATCAATCGGATTTCGGATAGGCTTGATATTCTCTTTCTCGGAATTAGTGGTGGGCTGTGTCACCGGCTAACGTATTCGCTTGCGCATTTATTGCATGCAAATGTCATTTTTTTCGTCGGTCGCTCGTTAGCTCTGCATTGCCATTACAGATACATTAGTTTAAACTTTGGGAGACTATATCTAACTTGTTTTAATCCGTCTTCTACCAGCTCTCATAAATTCCACCATGTGACCGATAATTACAGTTTCATCAGTTACCTAACGAGTTTCTTTTTCGTAGTCAATAGTTTGTCTACTTCACATCTGTTGGAAGATTTTTGTCAAATAGCTACTGAATTTTCCATATTTTAACCGATCAAGGAAGATGCACAACATAATGCTTTTGAATCATATATTTTCTTGATGTCTGACGGGTGCCTGGGGAAAAGTGGTGAAATGTAACACGAATCATTTTCCTTCGGTCGATGTTCCCAATGAACCAAGTCTAGCCTGTTTGTTTATTACTACCAGGCCGGTGTTATCAGGAGGAAAGTCTGGTTCTGCACCGCCACTTTTAATTGGACGCTTGATTTCCCTTCGAATTTCAACTTTTATTGCAATCATCTGGATTGAAAATGTTTTACCGCTCCCTCGGGTAATGTGAATCGAATATATCTGGTTCACCGTTTTGGTTAAAGCTACATAGTTTTGTGAATTTTCCATCTATCCCTCAGGATTGCATGTGCACAAAATGTTTAAACATTTAAAATAAACGGTAGTATGGCTTACTCTCTAGACCATCCGCATTTACGTTTTTCTATGAAGTAAAGTTTAAAAATAATAAACTTTTGATAACGTCACGCCAGTTTCAGGAAATTCCGGTGGAACCAATCTTCCTTGAAGCAAATTGATTCATTCAAAGATCTTACTCGAATCGGCTTGCTTCCATACCGTTATCATAGTGATAAATCATACATGTTTGTTACAAATAAAATTCAAATCAAATATATTGAAATCACGTGGGTCGGAAACGTGTTGTTTGTATGCCTCAAGATATCTAGCTATTTAGTGTCTCTTCATTCCCTAAAAACGCTCAAATTCTGCTCCCTGTGAACTGCACTTGTCTTTTGATCAGCGAGACATTTCGGTTCACTTTTTTTACACTGTGTATGCTGATTGTGACGAGATGAAATGTTTCCTACGGATCGCATGTCGTCATTGGACGCACGCAGTTTTTCACAACCCCCCCCCCCCCCNTGCCGCGCACGTCTGTGTATGTTTGTGTGTGTGTGTGTGTGTGTGTGTATCATTTACTTCGTTCCATTCGGGTTGTGTTTGGTTGTTGATCGATTGAGGACAGAAAGCTGTCCGTCTGCTGCCTTAGTTCGGATGCTGTTCTCGACAGAGCATGCATGAGTATCTTGATGATCTATCATAAAAAATGACAAAATGCTAGTTTTATTGATAGGTACAACCTTTCTCGTTGATCTCATTTCAGTGTTTTTTTCCTAGGCATTACGCTCACCAAAGGAAAACGGACAATACGCTTTCTTTTTTGTCATTCAGACAGAGGTCCAGTGTGTATAACGATTTTTCTCTCAGACGTTTTTCCGTAACTATTGCTAGATTCCCAATCTATTTGCAGATTGCCATGATTAAATTTATCAAGATTGCCCCTATTCTTCAGAACACATTATTTCTCACAATAACTTACTTTCGTTTAGGGATTCTAAGCATACTTGTTTTTGACTCATTTAGCATTACGTACAATACAGTGCACAGTTCACATATGCCAACTATGGTGAAACATTCGTTCACGAATAGCGAGAAACTTAAATTCCGGGTTGTATTATGAAGGAGACTGCATGTATTAATATGTTACAATCTTTCCCATAGACTTTCATCCGTATTCCATGCTTATCTGTTTGCGTCTCTTCAAAATGCAAAATGTATGTTTCATGCTATCATGATGCTTCATTTATGTATACGGATCACCCTATCGGTTTCCTCGCACACAGCTTTTTCACAAGGCGTATCATTTTTATATTATGGCTTTAATTGGATTGAATTTCTCCTTGACAAGCTGTCCGTGGGTTTTATTTTTTCGTCACAGTTACGCATAGCAGATTTTATTCCAATTTCTCTAGGACAGTCCACTTTTTATTCATCCGTGAAGCTAGCGAATAAGACCGCAGATACGCTCGTAATTTACTCGTCAATCCGGATAGGTAACATTTTTCTTCCGTTGTTGACGTTTTTTCTCAATATTAAGTATAACCAGGTGCACAATACCTGCGAGCTGCCAAGTATGATTCCAGATAGCGTGCACATCGTTTGTTTGGGCTTCGGAATCGGCCGAGCAGTTTCGCAATCGTCACCTTTACGCTTGCGTGGGTGTAAGCATTTCCCACTCTATTAGAATAAATACGATGATTCATTTTGCTCGACTCGTATCGGTTTTCATCACGCTCGCATGTGATATGATATATGATTTCTTGCTTGCTATCCGTTTTTCACTGTGGTCTATCTGATTTCGTATTCCTAGTGTTCCTCCGATAGGGGGCTCAATTTCGGGAAGTGATTCATCGTCCGGTTCCGGTGCTCGCGTCAGTCACAAACAGCAGCAAATCAGTAGCATGATCAATTCGGTCAACTTGTCCACCAATCCGGAACGGTTGAAATTGCTCCCGGTTGGAGCATCCCCTTCCACGCATCCGGTCCTGACTTCCGCAAACAGTTCACACCCGTTCGCGAATAATCACGGTCATCCATCCATTACTAATGCCGAATTGATGTCCTCAGTCTCCTCCAACTGCGTTAGTCAACCACCTCCTTTACACGCAGTTCCCTTGCATTCGACCGGATCTGTCTATCCGCACCATCCTATTCGGACAGCTGAACACGGACCCCTGGTTGTGTGTAACCCGGGTGTCAACGATTCGTCGGTATCAACTTCGAGTGCCGGTGTTTTGTTGAACCGAATGGACCAGCTAAATAATGGTACAATCGGGTAGTTACGCTGACTACGGATACACTTCAATCAGATAACCAGTCGTCACTATCGTCGTGTCTATCGTCAGTCTGAGATGCTTGTGATTGACATGGACTGATTTCTTTTCTCCTTTTTGCTTATTCCTACTACAAATGTCTTATCAGTTATCTGCCCTGTGCATTGTGCAATTGTCACGTGCATTAATCCTTCTGCATTTGTCTAAAATATATATATATATATATAATAGCATTGGCTTGTCTTCATTGATCATTTTAGCACTGTTATCATGAGTTCCCATCGGTTAGCTCTTATTCCACCATGCGCCCTCTCTTGTGTCCGAAATGCCTATTCTGACTAGATCAATTACATATATATATATATATATATATATACCTTGTGGAATGCCTCTCCAAATCCCTAGTACATGCATCAATCATGCATTTTCTGTACAGTTGTTTCTACTTCTCTCACATTCACTTTCAGGGCAGTTATTCAACTCCCTGTCCCTACCAATGGTCCGTCCTCGCTGTTCACTTGCTTTTATGTCATATTTGTTTTCCAACCGGTATCAGTCACACACATACATCAAGATACTTTCATCGGGTGCTTTTACATACACACGGTCGTGTCACATAGTCCGAGGATTCACTTTGATCAAGACCTGATTTCATCGTATCCGCTTTTTCTCTCACGTGCACGCATACGTTCTCAAATGTTCAGTTTGTGTTCATTCACTATCTCGTGTATCATCTAAAACCACTATCCAAGAATAAGAAATTTCGGCTTTCATTTTGCCTACACTTCATAGGGTGTCAAGTTTCCATGCGAAAGAGAAACGCAACTTTGAGCAATATCAAAATGTTTTCTTTTTTTACCTGCTGATTCTTTGATGTTCGAAATGGTTTTACGGGGAGGGGCTGCGAAGCAGCTAATCCGGATTTGTTCTATGACAAGTGCAGTGTCTCTTCGAAACATCCAGTCACTGCACGTTGTTTTCATTCTATAATACTGTGGTAACGTTTGTTGATGAATACCATTCAAACACTGATTTATCGGTGGTTCGAACTCAGTTGTAACGGTAATTTATTTATAACACCGGAAAGCTTCTATCCCTATCCTATATTTGAAAGGTTGCTGTTATCAATGTTGCAATTGGTACTACCGCCCCTCCCCCCCCCCACACACACGCAGTTTAGAGACTCACAATGACGTTTCTCAGCAAAACTTTGACAATGTGGTACTCGATGTCTCTCGAAACTGCGCAGTTATTTGCTCTATTCAATTACGACGATGGACCGGTACAAAAAATAAAGTTTCTGAGTGAAAAATCATTAAGTTGCAGTGCGAATAGAATCAGCGCGACGTATAATTTGTGCCATTGTCTACTCTGACTTGTCACTTACTAGTCAAATTTAATAGAATCACTACTCTATAGCCTTCCATTTGGGCTTTACAAAATATTTGCAATAAAAGATAATCGCAGGATCATAGTGGTGTCTGTGGATGTAGCAACGAAACAGATGGAAATGTTCCCAGCTTGCTGAATGGAATAAATTAGGAAAAAACGTTTGAGTAAAAATATGAAAAGTCCGTACAGTCTCGTTTACTAAAACCAAACGATGGCGATAAATAAGGATTCACTTTATTTCCGTCGAACCACAATCACTATTTCGTTGGTTTGAAACATAAAGTAACAGCTAGATCGACTGGTGACAGATACGGTACTATGCTTCTTTCCGTTCGTAGATCAACATATCGATTAAGGGAAACTGTGTTAGTCCTTCCCCCCCTCCTATTAGCTTTGATGAAAATCAACAACTATGATAACTAACGAATAATAAACATCCATTATTTGACCACAATCAGGGTGGGTGAACTTGTAATAATTGACGCATCTTGCTCAAACAAAGAACACGAAGGAGCCTTATGATCAAAATTTGAGTAGCTCGGAAAACGGTGTGAGTATGGCTGTATTTGCAAGCAACGAGGATGCTGTCAGAGTGACCATTTCACCATATTTGTTGGTCCTCTTCCGTTTCTTTGGACTGTCCTGATGAACTTTGTCTTAGTTGTGGTGACTAACCAGTAGACTATATCAAATTGGCCCAGCTAAGGAGCTTTTGAGTCTAGCCACTGCTTAATCCATTTTTAATATGTGCTTCTAAACGGTGTTTTGATGATCGCTCTGACTTTATCGTGGAAATTAACTGTGCAGCTGATTTCAAATAAGGGAAATTGGGTGATTTTTTTGGAGGTACTTAAGCCTTATCCGTTGCACTACTTCACCTGCTTCGTATGTGATCAGCGTCGTTGACAAGAAATAGAATAAATTGTTCACTTTAATTTGAATGTCCATCTAATGCAAAACCTCTCCTTTCAGTTTTCTAAACGGTCAATTGATCATAGTTTGAAAGTTAAAGGACCGATTCGATGCTTTCTCAATTCTCAGCACGAGCAACACGCAATTTATGCATGCACCATAATTTACTAGCTCGTAGTTTTGACTTGCTGACAGTAAACAATGGGAAAAGCGATTACCATAAATTGCGTTGTTTCATCGTTAATCCTTATACGGTAGAGGAAAAAGTTTTCTTTCACGCTGAGCAAACTTATTCCCGTGGTATCGCCAACAGTTGTTCCTTTTCTTGAGAATTTACGTGTCAGATATGACCAGATTTATCCGTTGAGCTTAACACATTTCTGGGATCCAATTCGCTTCTCCAATAAGTGAGGCGCAACAGCACATCACCTTGCGGAAGGGCTCAAATGTCGGCAACTTCAAACGTGGTTTCATTTGCGTGTCCGTAATGTTTTTGAAAATATTGTCGTAACATGAAAGTGCGATTCGGTGATCGGTGATTAAACCCAAAGAGAAACGAATATTGTGTCCACTGACAGGACATTTATTCACGAGAATTTTTGTGCGAAATCTGAATGCATTGGGAAAATCCGTGTCCCCTTTTCCTCTCATTCCCCAATACACCCGGTGTACCCGTTTGGTTCAGGTAATCCGAAATGAACAGGATTGATGTCGTGCAATAACTGCCAGACGTATAATTACACTCTACCGCTTAACAAGTAATTATGTTTCGAAGAAAGTTTTTGTTCTGCCGTTTTTCTTCCTCCCGTTGTATCTGAGTTTTGAATCGGGGGCTTACTCTTTTGCAATAGAGGAGTCACAAACAGATTCACAAAATGTATTCATGGTTATTTCACCGTAATTCTACATGTGCATACAACAGTCGAGGTTATTTTTATGGTCGTTGAAATAATGACCGTGAGAGGAAAACAAGATTCGTAATGACAACGGACAACTGAAAACACGAGAAACGAAAGAGATGGAGGAGCGAGTCAATCACAAACATAACGCTCACATGATCAACCCTTCATGTTTGTTATTTTACTGACCATAACAATCACTTGGACCGCGAAATGTGTCTGTGTACAGATATAGCGAAATGATCATAGATAATGCTTTGTGACTTCTTGGTTCACATTTGTGACAGGAAAACAGTGCTTTCAATTTTTGTTTTTATCGAATTTCTAACGCGTAATTTTCCCCTACGGATATGGATGTGATTTTACATGAGCAGAATTCCTAATTACTGGTGAATCGCTATCGAGTTTCACATGATGAGCTACTCTTTCGCGGCTGCATTCGATCTTTCCCGCTGTTCATCAATTCTCATTTTGGAGTTACATTCGTCATCTTCCTCGTCTGGGAACGCGTGTTCAATAACTGGTCACTTCAATTATTCATAGTTTCAGATCAATCATTTTGACAATTCACTGGCTCAATTAATTCCACCTGTTCCTGATAGCATTCCATGTGCTAACTGGATTGAACAACAAGATAGCTGACAAAGCAACAAACAGGAGACCGATCCCGTAAGCAAACTGGAAAGGGAGTGTCGCTGTTGGTGTGTACAACTACATCAACAGTGTTGTGAGAACGCCTGTAATGTGAGCGTACTCCGGGCTCTCGCAGCGCAGCGGAGTGAACAGAGATGCGCGACGGGATTTCCCTAGGCTAGCAATATCACAGCTCGAGATACTACGAGGCTGTGCGGGTGACTTTCGACGGCTGGGTCGCAATACGACCGGAACACGGGGCGGTGAGAAAACACTGGCAGACAGGACCTCCGCGGGTCGGGATTAAATATAGAACTGCAAGGCAACGTAAATGAAACGCTATGAACCAAAAAGGTTCAGTTAGATACAAACACTCATCTTAAAATATTACTGGTGCGGTTGCCAGGCCTTACACCCGTACGGAGGTAACACCTTTGTTTGTACTCCCTCCCTGACTGTCATTTGTTTTCGAAGCCACGATTACCGCATCAAGGTTTTCTTATTCGTATAAGGAACAGCGCTAACCTCCAAAAGTTTGTATTAAGATTGCTATTGTATATTTTATATGTTGCTTACCTAGCCAAATCTAATTGGTTCTAATCCCACTCAGTCAGGATTGTATAATGTGCGGGACGCTGGTGGCAGTGATCATCATCATCATACATAATGCGTTGTTGTTCATGTTGGACATGCCGTCCGACCATCACGCTATATATAGTTCGGATGCTCCGTGATCTCTTGATGGAGGCATGTACTCTTCGAGGGTACGCCCTGACGAGGAGGGAGTTCATTGTGTTTTACTATCTGGATTTACGATGGTTAAATTCCTCATCTGAATTTACTGTTCGGTCAGCTCTGGTAGAACAAGCACGGAGACAAATCGACGCATCGCGACCGGGTATTGACGCAGAGAAAGCTACAAAGGGTCATTAAGAATAGCCGAGGCGGTTAGCCTACTGAATTATCAGTCCGTATTGCCCGGGTTTGATCTGCAGAAGGTGTGGAAGGTACGTTTGGTTGGTGATTCGGAGCAAGTATGAAGGGGCCCTACATTATTTTGGATACTTTTAGTATGGATTGATATGTTGAATTTGCATAACGGAATACTCACGGAAACTAAATTTAGTAATTTTCAAGTCGCCAGTTCCGAAATTCGAACCATATATCACA